ACCTCTACCCCGATATAACGCGACCCGATATAACACAAATTTGAATATAATGCAGTAAAGCAGCGCTCCGGGGGGGCGAGGCTGTGCACTCCGGCAGATCAAAGCCAGTTCGATATAACGCGGTCTCACCTATAACACGGTAAGATTTTTTGGCTCCTGAGGACAGCGTTCTATCGAGGTAGAGGTGTAGTTGGGTTTGTCAGCCAGGGGAATTGCAACTGGTAAAAGGTGGGTGTTGGAACACAAGTGAGCACTGTCATCTAGAGGAAGTGCCCCTGCCACAAAATCATGTTACACACTTAGGGAATGGAAAGGTCTGCTATCATTTAAACAATACTAATAATGTATCAAGTGTCACCTTGGAAGGGTATAAACATTGTGTAAAGATCTCACAAGGCACATGGTGCAGCAATGTCTCATTAAAGAGTATAAAATTGGGAAATGAAAACTGGCAAACTGTGCCCCACATTATCACTCAAAATGTAACCTAGTCAGGGGGAGATTTGTTTAATAGCATAAAATTAGAGATTCAGCAATCAATGCATTGGAAGGCCTTGCTGAAGTCAGTAGAGGTCATATGGAACCCAGCTCAGGAAACAAGCAAGATGTCACGTATCCTCAAATTAAGTGTGGATGAGGTTGGGAAAAGACTTTAGAGCAGCAGAAGCCAATAACTGGTGGGATGACAATGTATTCTAACATGACAAGTGGAAGACAACACCTGATCCTGCACCTAGTGGTAATGTGTGTGTTTTGTTTGGTAGGATGGTTGTGTGTATATCAACGCAATTTGCGGAAATGGATGTATATTCGAAATGCTCAGCAAAACTTGTTTCTGTTACAGCACGGATTATTGTGTATTCCGGGCCTAGCATCACATGCCCATTTATGGAACATTAATTGGCAATAGTATCTCATGTCATATAAGGGGATGTGTAGCCATTCTCAATATATGTGAGGCATGGATTTGGGTTGTGTGTAAAGAGGCCACCAATAGCAGCCTAGCCCTGCTGGTTGACATCTTACGGCCCAACTCATGTTTTCCCCAGATGGATGGTAGTGGCACACTGCATAAAAGTAAATTGAGTGCTGAAACCATCTCTGGTATTACTTACACAGGTATGCCGTGAGAGCTAACACTGAACAATGTAAAGAGAGAGCTAGGAATAATCATCTAACTCATGGTCATCTGGATTTATTTGGTCATGACAGAGGATGACAGCTGGTGATGCTACCGTGATAACTGACATTCTGTATGGAAATATCAGACAAGAGTGGTAATACTCAGATGGCACCTTGCACCACAGAGCCCAGGGATTTTGCAGGAGTGTTAATGCACACTATTAGAGGGCTTTCCCTTCACCCCCTCCCCTGGTTCTTGTCACGCAGACAGAAAGCAGAAGACCAGAAGTCCAAAGTGCAGGCAATGCGATGTTTATTGGGGTTAGTTTCAAGCAAGCATATCCATAGCTCTACATGCTAGCAGAGTCTGTTTCCCAGTGTTCCGTTCCCAGCTCTGATGCCACAGAACATTTACCCCGTGTCCCCCTTCCTAGTTCTGATGCTGCAGAACCTTGCCTGTGTCCCCATTCCCATCTCCCATTTTCCACCTCCTCCTTCTTAGCAGGCCCAAATATACCTGCAGTGCACGCCCCAAGTCCCACCCCTTACAACTTATGGCCAAGTTCCGTTTTGGAGGGTCATGAGTCTGGGGTCTTCATCACATCTCTTTTGTATTCCATGGGAGGGGTGAGGAGTGAAGTTATGTTCTGGTCAAAGCCAGGATTTTCTTTGGCTTTTAGTGTTTCTTATGCCTCCCCTCCCTATCCCCACTTGCTCCTCTTAACTGGTTGCTTGACCTTGGCTTGAGAGAGGAGCCAGGCAGCAGTCCAGTGAATGCTCATATATTAAGCAACAGAGTCCTGTGGCACCTTTAAGACTAACAGATGTATTGGAGCATAAGCTTTCGTGGGTGAATGCCCACTTCGTTGGATGCATGTCATATATTACACTCTCAGCATACCCCATAACACTTTTAACTTAATCTCTTACCTCTTTTCACCTCATCAGCTTGTGGGCAGGTGTAACACACAGTGTCTTTGTTCACAAATATTAGTAAGGATATAAGAGTATCAAAAAGTCAAACCCAAAATTCTATCCCAGGCTAACAAACAGGCCTATATACTAACACACCAAGCAGGGGGTATTTTTCTGGAGACACCCTGCGACGGAAGAAACGGACAACTACATAATAAAGAACTGAAACAAGTTATGGGATAGTGTTGCATGTAAAATAAGAAAAGAAGGAGCTATGTAGGATGTAATATGTAGAAGGTATATTTCCTGCTTGTCTTGCAAGGAAAGAGAACAACCAGGTAAAAAGCTGAGCCAGCAACCTGATCAGGTAAACAACTGAGTTAGCAAACTAATCTTAGCACTAGGCAGAAAAGGTGGTTATACAATACAGTACACTCTTGCTATATTGAACTCCTGGGGATCCAAGCCATTTATTCTGTATAGCCAGGAATTCGTTATAGCAAGGTGGGAGTGAGGGTGGGGGGGCGGGAACAGAGTGAGCTCCTCTGGCCCTGGGGCTGCGGCAGGGGGCTGTGCTCCTCTGGGCCTGGGGCTGGAGGAAATCTCTGTCCCAGTTGTGGGGCGGGAGGAGCACTCTGCCCTGGCTGCGGCCACAGGGCCAGAGGGCCGGTCAGCCCACTGCTGCAGCCCTGGGCTGGAGAAGCTGTCAGTCCCGAACCACAGCCCAAGGTTCGCTATTGTGAAGGGCATTATAGCGAGGCTCTACTGTATACAATGAATAACGTTGTAACAATGTATTTAAGGCGAGTACCTGAACGTGGGTGTGTGCTTGCATTAACCCCTATGCTGTGCCCTGTTTCAATGGACTGATCACTCACTGATGCAGTGAATAAATAAACATACTTCTTCAGCTCAATAGTCTGTCTGCAAACCTGAGCATTCTGGGTAGCAGGGAAAAGAACCAATCAACACTTAGAAGCTCTTATGTCTTCCACTGGCCTTCTAGGTGACTTTAGGCATGTCACGTCACTCTCTGTGCCTCAGTTTACCTATCTGTAAAATTGGGATAATGATTCTGACTTTCAGGATTTCTGTTCAAGCATGATCCCCACTCCAACTTGGAGCAGCCATTACAGGGAAAGTCCTTCTGGAAGTCATAACTCAGGGTTGGAGGAAGCATGCTCAGTTGCTCTGTGGGGTGGTGCAAGTGCAGTCTGGTCAGCACGAGAAGCTATGAAAGGCTTGAGCATGATCAATAAAGATGGAGCCACCAGAGATTTTAGCAGTTAAACCCTAAGAGGTCTCTAATGTGGTAAACTGTGATTTTTCAATGGCTATTTTTAGCCAATTATGGGTCAATTTTTATAGGGATGGCATAAGAGACATCCATGGCACAAAGTCCACTCCTCTTCCAAATATCAATTACCTACTCCAAAGCATGGGCATGCTAGAAGATCTCAAAGAAAAAGTTTGCTTGTATTTTTTTGTAACATAGGCAAAACAATGTATTTTCCCCTACCTTTGTTCTCGGAAATGGCTGGACCATTTTGACTGTAATTTTCCAGAACAATTCAGCCTGAGGCAGACATTTGACAAGGGAAATTTCAGCTCAAACAATTAAATTTTGGCAAAGTTATAAGCACCTGAAAACAGGATATAATAATGGGAAGTGCTACCAGTCTGCTCTACAGATCTGCACGGAGGATCGGAGAGAATTTTGCCCTCAGTCCATTTACAAAGCTGAACTGCTCCTGCACAAGCTTGCCTTGCACATCTGGATGCAAGTTGATGGAGCTGAACCATCAGAAATGCAAGTTTCTGTTACACAGTCTGATGAATCCAAGTTCCTAGTTAGACTAATGAGCACTGTAATAGGAAAAGATTAGGTACAATCCATTTATTTATCAGTATTTTCATCAATAAAATTACATGCTGAAAATAAAACAGAAAAGGCGACAAATGGGAGTGTTATGAAGGCTTTGACCTCGACTAGCGGTATGAAGACAGTTTGTGCAAGGCAGTGGAGAATCAGGCCCAATATGTTTCTGCAGCCGTAAACTGACTGATTATGCTGATTTGCAATACTGTAGCTGAAGATACCTCTACAGTGTGGGCCAAATTCTGCTATTGGGTTTCTGTGGCATTTTTTCTGAGTAATGACCTCAGGATTTATCCTTACATTTCCATCACCTCCAACTCAGCATCATGCCGGATTTAAAACATTTCACTCAAAACAACAACAAAAAAAAGCCATGAAAACGGCTTGAATATTTCCATTTACCAGCTTTTTGCAATGTAAAGCAAACTCTCTTAAATTTTCTGTTCTTTCCAGGGTCATCTTTTCAAGTAAATCAAGGACATTTCTATTTCAAGACTGTACCCTTAAGGTGCACCATAGAAACATGAAGAAAAGGCTATTTTATTTTCTCTTTATATACTTTTTCTATTCTGATAATTAGAGCGGCCTTTGGAAATTATATCATTCATGTCAAGGGTTTTCTAATTTGGATTTAAACACAAAGCAAAAAAGGGGAAATTTGGGTCTGGATACTTATAGCATCTTCCAATGGAACTTGAAGTCATGACCTCCTACTCCTTCCTTCACAACTTTAAAAGCTCAGCAAAGCATTTAAGCATGTGCTTTGATGAACAGGGACGGGCTTACTCAAACACTTAAAATTAAGCATGCGCTTAAACACTCTGATGAGCAGGAATGAGATTATTCACACGTTTAAAATGAAGCAGATGCTTCAGTGCTTTTCTGAACTGGGGGTTAAGTCTGATCTGTGAAACCGCTGCACGCAACACACCTGTTCATCGTAAAGGGAGTTCCACATGTTGAGCGCTTAAAGGGTCAGGCTGCTGCTATTGAGTCTATCAGCTAAAACCAGGACCATTGTTTCCATGTCTGGCACCCAGGAACGCCACTGATGGTTTGTTTTCTTGTTTTAGTTAGAACTTACCTATCTCTCCCCAGCAGAAAGGGTTGATTCCACCTGTTGTACAGTTGTACACCATCATTGTTTTTGGTCTGGAAAATACATGATGTGAAAAATGAAAGAAATTTAAAAATGTGGAAAGAAAACAGAAAAAAAATATCCAGTTATCTGGTGGTGGGCCTTAAAATCATGGACAAGAGAATGGGAGCAAGAAATACTTTAACTAAAATATGGCCACTACATCTCATTGCACTATTTGAGTTTATGGGACAGTTTTGTAATTTCACGGTGTTCAGTGGAGATAATTAGGTGTAAATGAGAGCAGACTTTATCTCTATATAGTTTAATCCAAGCTAACTAGATAATAAATAATCAAACAAAATACATTCTAAAAATAAAAAATCTCTTACTTGTGCATACGGTCTTTCATCCCCAAATGCTTTAAATCTATACACAACATACAGCACTAATGAAATGCAGCTACATCTGTGGTTGAGCATGACAACTAAACAGCACAGTAGTGAGATGAGGGCAAATGTTAGCCAAGCACACTAAGGCCTCTTATTGATTTCAATGGGAGTAGGTGCCTATCTTACTTAAGTGCTTTTGAAAATCCCAATAGATGCCAATCTGTAGGGTGACCATATTTCCTTATGCTGAATATGGGACACCTGGTAAAATTACTCGTATTCAAGCGAGTTCAATGGCAATCAATTAGAACTATGCAGTGCAAATGTTCAAATGAACATCAAGTTGACTGAGCCCCCATTAAAAAGAAATACTGCGTAGTTGGATTATTTTTATTTACCTTCTTATCTTTAAGGCTTTAGGGTTCACACAGGGAGGGGTGACATACACACCCCTACCCTCCCACAAACACGGGGAGAGGTGACACATACACACTCCCGTATGCCTCTGTCACACAAGGGGGTGACCGACCAACCTGACCCTCCATGCTCGGCACACTCCACCCTCCATGCCTGGCTGGGCCCCTGGGATGGATCTGCCTCTCCCGGTTCCTGGTGCCGTGTCTTCCAGAGGCAACACATGGGGGGGGGGGAATGCAAAATCACGTGCTCCCCCTACCCAGATTATTGCCAAGGTTCACACCAAAATGTGTCCAGCAGCAGCCTTTTGGCACTGTGTGGGAGGGAAGGGACAGGAGCTGCTACCAACCACAGGGGAAGTGGAGGAGGGGAAAGGGATGACCTGGCCCGTGTATTTGCAGAGCTCATCTCTTCTTTTCTCCCCCCCCACCCCCCACCCCTGTGGCTGGAAGCAGCTTGTCCTTTCCTGTCCACACAGTGTTGAAAGACAGCTAACACCTCCAGGCTGCTGCTGGCCACTGACATAACCCAGCCACCTCCTGTCCCCACCACTACAGCGTGGGCAGGAAGGGCTTAAGCCTTAAGGATGCATTGTGCACCGGGGCCCAGGAAACCTGACTGCAGGGGCTACAATAAGTGCATGTATAACCAATAAATAACAAATCTTAATTTAACATACATGTGAAAGCCATTAGGCAAGAATACATAAAGCCACACAAAGACTTATAATGAGGCATGAAAGTCAACAGCTCATAAACAAGGACTCTAAACAAGGTTCATCCTATATATAAATGCAAAATACAATTTAAAAAATGAAGATTAATCAAATCTAGCCAGTGAATCTAGGTAGTGTATGCAATCAATAAATAACAGATTTGGCTTGAGATAAATTATCTATACATCAGTTATTAAACAAACTATGAAAACAATAAAGGAAATGATTAATAAAAGCAGTTTTTTTGTATTTACTGCAAAGTTTCTCTTGATGTATCGTAGCTCATTTGTCCAAGTCAAAGTCAGGGAGACACTATGTGCTTTATAAATCATTTATTTGAAAGATGCCACTTTTGCTAGATCCAAAAATCAGTGGTGATGTGGGGCAATTCTTGCATTTTCCCCAGTTTCCCCAAAATAACGTGTGTCTGTTGCTCTTTCATGTTTCATTTACCCAGATGGGGGAGAGAGAATCAAATCCTGGAATGAGGTTGCAAGTTCTGTGATAAAGTCCACATTTCTCCGATGTATTTTAGAATAATGTTTTCCTGTAGAATGTCACCTGATCAGAAATGATAGTAACCTTCTTGATCATTGATTTTTTTATTAAGCCATACAGCAACACCACTAATAAACAAAGGCATGAAACGCCCCAGAGGCCACTGGGTAGATAACAGAAATGTATGTTAGAAATGCTCAGACTCTCCCTTTAGATTTACATGCCACAAAATATCTCATTTCAACAGAGTGGTTTTGCCAGCTAAATGAAGTTTGTAATGATAATCTGTAATTGCTTTTGAGTCCCACAGGTGTTAAACAAGGGAACCACAGAAAAACCATCGTTAAATTAGAGGGTAGGGAATTGTTTAATAAATTGCATCCTAGCCCACACTGTCAGCTGTAGATTATTGCATTTAGCAGTGTTATTGTGTAGAAATTACATTGGCGAAGACTATGCTATCGCATATTATATTTACCATGAGCCTGCTCATGGCTGGCTAGGCACAGGTGCACAAGGAGATGAAGAGGGTGCAATGAGGCTTCCTTCCAACTCCTTTTTGCCAGGTAGCAAACACAAGGACAGCTGGATTAGCCCTTTCCTTAGGGGTAGTGAGTGTGGGTAAGCAAGGGAACCGACCTGAGTTATAGTCCAGCTCTGCTACACAGTCTTCGGGCCTGATTCTCAGTTACATTAAGGCCCTTTTGACATCATGCTGGCAGCGTACAGAGGCCTTAAAGTGGGTGTAAATGTAATTTATGCTTGCTTGAAGGCCTCTGACACTGTCCAAGTGGTGTAACAGGGCTTTAGTGTCAATAAGAATCAGGCCAGCTGTGTAGCTGTGGGGATACATCACTTAACTTTTCTGTGCTTCAGTTTTCTCATCTGTAAGATAAATGGCAACATACTCAATGCTCCCTGTGGGCAGTGCATCTCTGCACCTTCCTACTGCTTTGAAGACCTCATCTAGTGCTACACTTCTGCTTAGAATAAACACCAACTTGCTCCATGCCTGGGATTACTCATTTCAATCACCACTGTGAACATACTGGGTAAAGTTTTCAAAAATGCTGAGATAAGTGATGTAGGACCCGAACTCAGGTGCTTTAAAAAAAAAAATCTCTTACCCATTTTGACAGGTTAAAGGTAAAACCTGACCATTTCCCCACACTGTCCAGCTGGTGTCAGTCACTGTTTAAATACTTTCTATACTTACATTGATTATTTAAAGTGTGTTCCTTATTTTGTAAAATAAAAAGCACATCAAGTTAGCCGTTTATCTTTATCCTACAACTTGCTGTGCACCATCTAGGTTTTTACATAATGCCCATCACTGTGGCATCTAATCTCCTCCCAAAATTATGAAATGTACATATAAAATAAATCTCTTTCTCTTTGTTCCTTGCAAAGCATTACCTAATTGTTTTTAATTTTTGGTTGTGGTGTCACTGTGGGAAGACTAGATCAAAAAAGGGGTTCTGCATTGTGCTTTGAAGATACTGAAGTTCATGGTCATTCTGATCTGCCTGGGGAGTGAGTTCCACATTCATAAGCCAGTCTCTGAGAACACGCTACCTTCTGTATTCATGAGTTTCACACTTGAGGTTGACAATTCTCTTGTTCCAGTGGAATATGATTGTCATAGGGCATTCAAGTCACACAGGGATGAAGTGGTCCCTCATGTAACATGGGTAAATTCCACAGAGGGCTCTGAAGAGGAGGACTGAAATCTTACATTTCACCAGGTATTCAACAGGGAACCAGTCAGAAAAGTGGAGTGATGGGCTCTCAGCAGCCATGCATTGCTGGGCACATGGGCTACTGTGATCTGAACCAGCATTTTAAGTTCTTTGGTTTCATATTCAGATATGGAGAATTACAGGAATAAGGCCTGATGGTCACAAATGCATGAATCACCACAGTTAACTCCAAATCTGACAAGAGAAGGCATAGTTTTCTTGCCAGGAGAAGATGGGAAAAGACTTCTTTCACTGCCATGGCTGGCATCCAGAAGCAGTGAGGAGATCAGGTGAATACTGAAGCAGCAGTGACTTAATCTGAGGACAGATGCCTTCATTGAAGGGTGTTGTTATAGAGGTGAGGAGTTCTTGGAAGTGCTTCCTTCTCCCTTCCCAAGATTCAGCTTCAGGAGGCTTTTCTTCATTTAATTGCTGATTGCAACCAAGGCCTTGGATAGCTGAGAAAAATTGTGTTGTTTTCAGCTGATGAGAAGGTAATGTAGGGTTGTGTGTTATCTGCTCATTGTTGGCACTGTAGTTCATGCTGATCACAGTCTCCCTTGTGATTTCATATCAATGTTGAACAGAATGGCCGAGAGAATAGATCTTTGAGGAACTCCAAAGGTGTGAGCTCTGCAGCTGAAGGAGCAGAAATCAGTCATGCCTTTCTGGTTGCGATCTGAGAGGAATGACTGAAGTCATCATGGCATAATCCTAGTAATCTCTGCTGCATGTCTGAAGCAGGACATCAGATAGACGGTATCATGGTTCAGTAGATGAAGGGCCCTTGTCCGTGGCTAAAGGATGTTCATCCATCAGTGCTAATAGCATTCTCTCTGTTCCATATCTTGGCTTGAAGCATGATTGGGAGGGGTCAAAGATATTGTTAGCACCTAGGAACAGTAGAAGGAGACACCTGGAGAGCTTCTCAATTAGGTTAGATACTGGGTGGTAATTACAGAGGTTGATTATGTCAAGGTGTAGCAGGATGGTTACCCCGCTCCTGCCCTGAAGGGCTTAAAAGAGCCAGGGAGAGGGCTGTGGCAGGGAAAAGCCAGGCTGATTGGGGAAGTAGCCACAGCTGGGCTATGCCCCAATCAGGCCCAGCTGGTCCCTATAAAAGGCTGTGAGCCAGAGGCCCAGGATAACTCTCTCTCTCTGCCTTTAGAGGGAGAAGGGCCTGGCTGCTAGGGAGCGTACCTGGGTACCTAAGATGGAGCAGGGGTGGGGAAAGGGCAAGGGAGCCGGGGAGCTCCGGCCTAGGAAAGCCTCAGGCTGCAGGCCTGGCAAGGTCTATTAGGTACTGGGTTGCA